TACCTTCCACCCAGAGGAGAGTCCAGGATGGAATTTCTGGCTCATGACTTCTGCCAGCCCCAGGGCTGGCCCCCGTGACCTTTTGGGAATTGAACTAGGAGAGATGGAAGAGGGTTCTCCCACCTTCTCTCTCTGTCACTCTATCTTTCTTTTTAATTTTTTAAAGACTTTTTAAAAAAGATTTATTTATTTTTATTGGAAAGGCAGAGATACAGAGAAGAGGAGAGATAGGAAGGTCTTCCATCCGATGGTTCACTCCCCAAGCGGCCACAGTGGTTGGAGCTGAGCCAATGTTATGCCAGGAAGTTTCTCCGGTTCTCCCACGCGGGTGCAGGGTCCCAAGGCTTTGGGCCATCCTCAACTGTTTTCCCAGGCCACAAGCAGGGAGCTGGATGGGAAGCAGGGCCGTTGGGATTAGAACCAGTGCCCAAATGGGATCTCTGCGTGTTCAAGGCAAGGACTTTAGCCGCTATGCTGTCGTGCTGGACCCACTGTCTTTCAAATGAATAAGTAATAAACAATTATTTAATACAAAATAAGCATACTATGAGATAGGAGACACAGTGGAGGGTAGATAGTAAGTGTACACTTTAAAGGACAACAACATGGCTATCCTGTGCTCACCAGCCAGCTGAAGAGACCAAGTACAGTTTCTGAAGTCCGATGTGCTGCCCTACCACCTCAGTGCCCGGCTGCAGAGCAGCACGTGCTGCTGGCCTGGGCACCCTGCCTCTGGCCGGTTAGGTTCAGGGTACTGGATGATCTCTGGGATCTTGCTGGGCCCTGCCAGGTGCTGCCTGGACCCCAGGGGGAACTTTCTCGGGCAGCTTTCCACAATATTCCAGCCAAAGCCAGGAGCCAGAGCTTTTCTTCCCTGGGGAGGCCTGGGAGTTCTGGACTGTTGGGGACCACAGCCCTGAGGCTGTGCGGGGCTGGAGTAAACGAAGCCTGGTTCTGGCGCTGGCAAGGCTCATACTCGGGCAGGCTTCCTGGCAGCGTGCAGTCATCAGGGCTGGATGTCTGGGCCCTAACAGATGGTCAGTAGACAGGAGATGGTGACAGATAGCTCTGCGGGTCCCTTGCTGAGTGACCTGGAGGTAGACACAGAGCCTTGTTGGGGCCCAGCCAGCATGTACTGGCCAGTTCTGGGTGTGAGGCAGGCTCTGCGTGCCTGATCACAAAGGCCCAGGGCCTCCGAGAGCGTGATGGCAGCACCTGCTATGGAGGCTGCTGTCTGTGCTTTGGGGTCCACTGCCCAGGTTCTTGGACTTTTCATCAGCCCACCTTTCCCTGGAGTCTGAGGTCAGTGTTTTGGCTGTGTGTGGCTGAGACCACCTGCAGGGAAACATTATACCTGGGCTGCTTTTCAGTGGTTTTTAAAAAAATTTTAGGGCCCGGTGCGATAGTGTAGTGGTTAAAGTCCTCGCCTTACATGTGCCAGGATCCCATATGGTCGCCAATTCTAATCCCAGCGGCCCTGCTTCCCATCCAGCTCCCTACTTGTGGCCTGGGAAAGCAGGACGGCCCAAAGCCTTGGGACTCTGACCCACGTGGGAGACCTGGAAAGAAGCTCCTGGCTCGTGGCTTCAGATCAGTACAGTACCAGCTGTTGTGGCCATTGGGGAGTGAAACATCAGATGGAAGATCTTCCTCTCTGTCTCTCCTCCTCTCTGTATACCTGCCTTTCCAATAAAAATAAATAAATCTAAAAAAAATGTATTAAAAATAATTTTATTTTAGTTTTAATGTTGTTTACATAGTTGACAAGGATGCACACCTGTGAGGACCACTGATAAGGGTGGGGAGGGTCGAGGAGTAGGGATGGTGGGAGGGACAAATGCTTCCAATTATCCTTTTCTCCTGTATGTGGTGGGGGGAGACGGAGGCACTACTCCAGTCACCAAACTACATCAGTACCCAGGGAGGGGGTGTCTTCTTGATGTCACCTTAGAAACCTGGATGTGGAGGAGGATGTTCTGAGGGTATCGGTTCAGTAGTTTTGATAGTTCTGACACACTGTTGGTTTCATTGGCTTTTTAATTTTTTCTTTCTCTCTTTTCTTTTTATGATTATCTCTTTTTAAATTTATGTTTACTTGAAAGGCAGATTTTACAGAGAGAAGAGAAACAGAGAGGGCTTCCATCCATTGGTACACTCTCCAAATGGCCACAGTGGCTGGAGTCGAGTTGATCTGAAGCCAGGAGCTTCTTTGTGGGTCTCCCACATGGATGCAGGGGTCCAAGAACTTAGGCCATCCTCTGCTGCTCTGCTGAGCCACACGCATGAAGCTGGATTGAAAGTGGAGCAGCAAGGACATGAACCAGTATTTATATGGGATGCTAGTGTTAGCTGGTGGAAGATTATCCTGTTACAGCACCACGCTGGCCTACTGGCTGTTTTTTGAACTCTGGATTCTTGGGGATCTAGAGTACCCGTATGGGATGCTAGTGGTAGCAGGTGAAAGATTAGCCTGGATAGCACCATGCTGGCATGTTGGCTGTTTTTTGAACTCCAGATTCCTAGGGCTGTGGCCCAGTAAGTTAAGCCTCTGCCTGGTGCCAGCATTCTAAATGTGAGCTAGGTTGCATTGAAGCTGCTCTACTTCCCATCCAGCTCCCTGGTTGTGGCCTGGGAAAGCAGTGGAGGATGGTCTAAAGCCTTGGCACCTTGCACGTGTGTGGGAGACCCGGAGGAGGCTCCTGGCTCCTTTCTGGCTTTGGATCAGATCAGTACTGGCCACTGTGGTCTTTTGGAGAGTGAACCAGTGGATGGAATAACTCTGTCTGTCTGTCTGTTCTGTGTAATGGTCTTTCAAATAAAACTTAAAACTAATAAAATATGGATTCCTGGGCCCTGCTCTACACCTATGATCAGACTGTCTGGGGCTGGGGAACATTTTCAACAGCTGCCCCAGGATTCAGATGTGCACCAAAGATTCCTGATTGCCACCCCACAGACTCTGCACGAGGTCAGGATTGGGGAATGCAACCTGTAGCCTGAGTCTTGCTAGTCCTCTAAACCACTTAGGGCCCCAAGGCCTGAATGAGAGAAAAGCTTGCTCATGCCTGCAAAACAAGAGGGAAGGAAGTGAAGGTCCTTCCTGCTTTGTGAAGGTTTAGATTTTATCCTGGCCTGGTTTCTTCTTGGATCAGCCTTTAGTGTGTGCTTCCGGGAGCTGTGGCAGTTTGCATAACCATCAAAGGAGAAGTGCAATGTTGTCTTGTCGGAATTAAAACAACAAAAACCAGGATGCCGGTGAAGACCTGGCAGGACATGGAAGTTGGCCTGTGTGGGTGGTGTGGGGTTGCCGTCCTGGGGAATCTCCCCTCTCCGTGCCGCAGTGTGTATCTTCTGCTTTTTAGTGTCTGCTCTCTCCTGGTTTACTTCCTTACTTTGGCGCTGTCAGGGCCTGAGCCTTTTGGAGTTCTGTGGTGCAATTGCAGCTGCTGCCCCTGGGTCCCCTGCTGGCGTGTGGGTCACCCACATCAGTCCTGAGGCAGTTCTCCCCAGGTCTCAGAATTTTGTTTTCCATTTCTCTTTTCCTTTGTGTGGGTTTATGCTGTTTAAAAATATTTCTTTCTGTGGCCAGTGTTGTGGCACACTGGATCCCCACTCTGACCCTGTCACTCTGCCTATCAAATAAATAAATCTTTAAGGAAATCATTTTAGGGGCTAGTTCCATGGTATAGCAGGCAAGACCTCTGCTTGCATTGCCGGCTTCCTATATGGGCGCCGATTCATATCCCTGCTTGTGGCCTGGGAAAGCAGTTGAGAATGGCCCAAAGCCTTGAGCCCTTGCACCCATGTGGGAGACCTAGAGGAGGCTCCTGGCTCAGACTGACCCAGCTCTGATTGTTGCAACCATTTGGGGGAGTGAATCAGTAAATGGAAGATCTCTCTCTCTGTAACTCTGTCTTTGAAATAAGAATTAGGCACCAGCATGGCGGTATAATAGGCTAATCCTGCACCTGTGGTGCTGTAGCCCATAAGGGTGCCAGTTTGTGTCCCAGCTGCTCTCCCTGCCTGTGGCCTGAGAGAGCAGTGGAGATGGCCCAAGTCCTTGGGACCCTAACTGGTGTGGGAGATCTGCAGAGAAGCTCCAGGCTCCTGGCGTTGGATCTGCTCTGCCCTGGCCATTGCAGCTTCTTGGGGAGTGAGCCAATGGATGGAAGATATTTCTTTGTTTCTCAATCTGCCTTTGAAATAAAAATAAAGATTTATTCATTTTAAAGATTTATTTAAAAATGCATGTTTTGGTAGCGCTGAAGGACAGAGTAAAGAGAAATGTGATGGTTCAGTTTACCATCTTTCCTAACAGATTTCTGTGAACTTGAAGCACTTTTTTTTCCCTTTTTTACTGTGATATAAAATATATACAGAAGTTACCATTTTAGCCATCTGCAAGTGTCCAGGTTAGTGACATTAAGTATGTCCATGTTGTGCCACCATGCATTTCCACACATTTTTCTGCAGCCCAAACTGAGTGAAGCTCTCTATTCCTTAAACGATTCCTCCCCAGCCTCTACCAACCAGTGTTCTGTCTTCTCTATGAGTCTGTTCTACGTCATGTGATGGACTCACACAATAGTGTTCCTTCTATTTGCCTTATTTCACTTAACGTTGGGTCTAGTTCCACTTTCCTTTTGGAGCAAAAAGGGAGTGAATGAATAAAGGATCAACATGATTTGATTTTTGGTTTGGAAGGCAGTGGACTTTTACTGCCAGCCCGAGGCATCCTGTAGCAGATTGGGTGAACCTGCCTGGTTCATTGTCGGTCAGAGCATGGCAAACATAGACAGGAGTCTCGGGTTCAGAGAAGGCCTGGGGTTCCTGCCTGCTGCTGTGCAAAAGTGTAGCCCTCAGGGCTGGGAACAGGTGCCAGGAGAGCATAGCCCATTCCCCAGGACTATGATGGGGGGCACCGAGCTCCTGCCCAGGTGGAGGTTTCCCTGGACCAGGCTGCTATTTGGGGCCCTCAAGGTTGGCTTCTCCCCCAACAGATTTCTGCATGAACCCTCAGACAGTGCTCCTGCTGCGGGTCATCGCTGCCTTCTGTTTCCTGGGCATCCTGTGTAGTCTCTCCGCATTCCTTCTGGATGTCTTCGGGCCCAAGCATCCAGCCTTGAAGATTACCCGTCGCTATGCCTTCGCCCACATCCTCACCGGTAAGTGGAGGGCCTGCCCGGGGAGGGGCCGGGTTGTTGGGAGCAGCAGTGGAGTCTGCAGGAGCAGAAGGTGGCTGACAGCAGGGGGTTGTTGGCAGGCTGCTTCAGTCATTTGCATGTACACTTGCCAGGATCACAAACGTCCTCAGTGCAGCTGTAGCAGGGCCCGATGTCAGAATTCCACAGGGAATCTCCCAGCGCTCCAAATCTGTTGTTTACAACTTAATTGAGTCCAGGGCCTGGAATGGAGGAGGAGCTAGGTTGTCTCCCCTAGAATATGGAGTTGGGAGGCTGGTTCTCTGGAAAGCAGCCATCTCTGCCAGGCGAGGCTACACTGCTTTCTCCCTCATGACCGGGCTAGCATGTCCATCGGACTTTGGGTGCTGCTCAGTCCAGCATCCTCCAAAGACCTGATCAGACCTGGCAGCCTTTGTATCCCAGCTACAAGTTCTCTCCAGGAGAATCAGTGAGTCCTGGCAGAGAGTTGGCACCTGTCCCCAGTGCCAGGTCAAGGATCCCATGGCTTCCGTACAGGATGAACCAGACAGGTTCTCTGTGAACAGGGTTTAGGTAGAGAGGCTGAAAACAAGTGCCCTGGTTAAAAGCAAACCCCCTCTTTGCTGTTACTCCATCCTCATAGTCCTGCAGTGTGCCACTGTCATCGGCTTTTCTTACTGGGCTTCCGAACTCATCCTGGCCCAACAGCAGCAACATAAGAAGTACCATGGCTCCCAGGTCTACGTCACCTTCGCCGTCAGCTTCTACCTGGTGGCGGGAGCTGGTGGTGCCTCAATCCTGGCCACGGCAGCCAACCTCCTGCGCCACTACCCTACAGAGGAAGAGGAGCAGGCGTTGGAGCTGCTCTCTGAGATGGAGGAGAATGAGCCGTACCCCGCAGAGTACGAGGTCATCAATCAGTTCCAGCCGCCCCCAGCCTACACTCCGTAATGCCAAGCGGAGGTGTTCTTCTAGGGCCATTCCCCTTCCCCTCTGCGGCTCCTCCTGTCCCCCCAGGGAGCTCCTGTCCCCAGCCGGCCTCACTGGTAGGATCCTGACCATTGCTGCACCTTCCCCACGAGAGACTTTGCCTTTAGGGCTGTCCATCTGTCCCTGCTCTCAGAACCTGGGACTCACGATTTTCTAGAATGCAACTGTTTCCCCTCCTGCCACCCTCTGCTCCCTTCCTGCTCACTAGTTATTACAAACTGGGGATGGTCAGACAAGTTTCCTCCCCTCGTGGGCCACATCTTCGGGGCTGAGACTTTCCTTGGGGAGCTGCTGATAGTGGCCTTCCCCAGAGAAGTGTCATTGGGGCCCAGGGGAGAGGGGACGGTGCCCTGCAGGCCTCCTTCACAGGCCCAGTGTTGGTTCCACAGCTGGAGCTCTGGCTGGCCCTGCTCTGTCCCCTGCCCTGCTCTTCCCCATCCCTTCTCCAGTGGCCCAGTGCCAGGCTGCCTGTTCTGTGGAATTCTCTGCACTTTAGCCTTTGGCCTTCTCCTCACAGGTGTTCTGCTTCTCCGGGGGGAAGGATTGGCCACTAGGAAGCGGGGCAGTTGCTTGCCCTGCCCTTGGCCTTCTGCCCTTGGCTTTGTGTGGCTGGAGCCAGGCAGGAAACCTGGCAGGAGACCAAGGCCTCCTGGTGCCTACACACGATCAGAGTGAAGGGGACGATCTCCCCAGCCCCTTCACCTTTTAAAATGTGAGCGGTTTTACAAGGAAACAACCAAGCTACAGCGACAACACTCTTTTTAAAAAATAGGGACAAGGCTGTCGCTGTTTTCCACAAATGTGTTCCCTTCCTTCTGGCTCGGCAGTATTTTGGGCCACAGCTCCTTCCCAGCTTGTAGTATCTCCTTAGTCTCCCTAAGCAATGTGCAGTCTCTTCCTGCCTCCCCACCACCCCAATCCTCTGTGACTGTGGCTCCCTGGGGTCTTGATATGGAGCCCAGAGCTGCGTGGCCCCCGAGGGGCTGAGAACTGTGGCCTGGCTGGCTGGCCAGCGTGGTGCTCCTCAGAACTGCGGCACTGAGATGTAACCTGGCCTTGGTTCAGGAACAGGGGCCACGGCGGGGCAGGAACCCACCATTCCCCACATGAGAACCCAACCAGCGGGCCCCAGTGGGTGAGTGTCAGAACCACCCTGTCAGACCAGCAGGCCTGGTTGGAGCCTCGAGTCTCTCTCATCTGTCTCCCATTTGGAGACTAGGGGCTCCAGCTTGCTGCATGCCCCTCTCCCCTTCTCGAGTGTACTGTGGTCTACAAGTGTGCTATTGGATCTGTTTTGGACAGCCTTCACTCTGGCTGCCCCATAGGCGCTAGGCCTGGCAGAAGTTTCTGCCCCAACATTGGGACCTATAGTGGGCAAAGCTTGACAGACTTTCAGTGTGGATCCTGATGGCCAAGCTGTCCTCGTTCATTATTGGTTTCTTTGGGATCAGTGACCCTTGCCGAGCTGAAAAGGAGACAGCTTCCAGGCTCCTCCAACCCTTGTAAGGCAATAGACAATTGGAGCAAAACTGGGAAATGGACATCACTGTTGCTGTGGCTGAAAAGGGACTGCCCTGTCCCTGTCTTTGGCCACACTGACAAGCAGTGTCTAGACAGGTGCCCACATGGGTGATGAAGACCACATGTACACACAACGTGAGCGGCTGCCCGAAGTTCACTGCTGAGATTCCAAAGTGTGTCCCAAGGTGACCCTCCCGCTCACCCAGACTCTTCTTGGGCCAGGAATGCTGCCTTGTGATAGCTGAGCACAAAACCACAGGGCTGAGTGAGTCTTCTCTGAATCCCCGAGTTTGTCACTGGCAGACTCCCGAGATGTGGCCAGCTCTCTCTGACTACATAGTCTGAGTGGGCAGGCCAGAAGACCAGGCACCAAACTCGCATGCCAAAGTGACCCAGTCATCTCACGAGGACCTGGACATGACCTGACCTGATGGACTGTTCCATGAGATTCAGCACCCAGTTTTTACTAGCCTCCCACATCTCTGGCCTTTCTCTCTTCCCCAGCCCTTTCTATCCTGACACTGATAGTCTGTCGGATAAATTCCCTTGGTTGTGTTTTTTTTTTTTCTAGGAAAAAAATTAAAAAGCAAAACAAAACAAAAACAGCAGAAACCACAAGTGAGAATGTAAACACCAATGGCTGGCTGTCATTTTTCTGTCGCACTTTTCCTGATTTGCTTTGTTCTTCAACTCTGAGATAAGCAGGAGGCACAGAAGAAGCTTATAGTTTAAGACATGATTACAGGGGGGCTCAGCACGTCCATGTGCCTTCTCCGTACATGGCACTTACATGTTTTTAAGAATTGAGAAACAGAGAACTCCATCTACTGGCTCACTTCCTGAATACTTTCTTTTGTAAGGATTTTTTTTTTCTTTGAAAGGCAGATTTTATAGAGAAGGAAGGGCAAATATCTTCCATCCACTGATTCACTCCCCAAGTGGTTGCAACAGCCAGATCTGAGCTGATTCAAAACTAGGAGCCAGGAGCTGCTTCTGGGTCTCCCATGTGGGTATAGGGTGCTAAGGTTTTGGGCTGTCCTTGACTACTTTCCCAGGCTACAAGCAGGGAGCTGGTTGGGAAGTGGAGCAGCCAGGACATGAGCCTTATGGGATCCTGGCATGTGCAAGGCGAGGATTTAGTCACTGGGCCATCATGCCTGACCCTACTTCCTAAATACTTTCAAGTGACTGGCAGGCTGAAGCTGAATTTTTTTTTTTTTCCTTTTTTGATAATGATTACATGGTTGACCAGGCGGGAAGGATTGAGGGTAAGGGAAGAGTGGGTGAAATCATTGTTTCCAAATTTTTTATTTCTTGTCTCTGGGGGAAGGGGAGAGATAAAGGAGGAAGCCACACCCAGCCTCCCAAAGGTCCCAGTACCTGCCACCCAATATCAACCCAGGGTTCTGCTGTTGTGCTTGTTCTGAGGGTTCTGACCAAGTGGTTTGGATAGTTCTGAAATGCTGTCAGTTTTGCAGATCCAAGGGTGAGGCAGTCCTCCCAATGCCCATTGGCTGACATAGTTGAGCTCAAGTCTCCACCCAGATTTTTACTCTCATCGTTTGCTGGGGTAGTTGTCCACTTTGCTGTGCTCTATTTCCTCTGCGGTGGCACCAAATGGGCTGCCTTGTTCTCCATGTGCATCAGAGTCTGTGTCCACTGCTCCACCTTTTTCACTCGTGGGGTGGACAGGTTGAAGGACCAGGTCAGGTGATCTGAGCCCCACTGGATCCCCTCCCCGACCACTGGGGCTCATGAACCCGGCACCCACCATGCATGTGGGCCTTAGGACCCTGGGCCATGCAACCCAAGCCCCGCCAGATCCCCCACTCCTGGGGCTCATGAACCTGGCACCCACCACTCAGGTGGCCAAGAGATCAGGGTCAAGTGACTTGAGCCTCGTAGGCAGGACCCAGGAAAGGTGACCGCAGTCCCGCCAGATCCGCTATCCCCAGGGTTCACAAACCCAGCACCCACTGCTCAGGTGACCAAGAGACCACGGCCAGGTGCCCCAAGCCCTCCTGGATTCTCCACCCCTGGGGCTCACGAACCTGAAGCTGGAATTTCAATCCAGGTCTCCCCGATGGATGGCAGCAAGCTGACTGAGCCGTCAGTGTTACTTCTGCATTAGCAGGATGTAGGGTCTGCATCAGCAGGAATCTGGGTCAGCAGCTGCAGCTGGGGGCTGAACCCAGCTGTTGGAGCTCCATGTAGAGCATGCATCCTAAACCATCTTTAACCACTAACCAAGCAATCACCCCCTCCATGCGTGCCACGGATCACCTCCAGGAAATTTTTAGCACCCAGAGAGTTTAGACACCATAGACTGCCCAATCTTGATGTGAAATTGTGAGCTCTTCTCTGTGTTCCCTAGTTAGCTATAGGAGACAGCTGCCCTCAAACTCGTCTCAAATTGTGTGGGAGACAGCAAATTTCTCCAGGGTATGCCCGGCAGTCTGCCCTTTCTTTGAAGCATTCAGAGGCTTGGGAGTAAAAGTCTGGGACTGTGACCTATAGGAAAGCTCTTCCTAGGCACTGCCTGGCCTCAGTTGTTGCCCACATTCTCCCCACTCATTCCCTCAGCCCACACCCCAGGGTCTTGGTAAAAGGGCTTAGGGCTCCCTTTAGGGCTCCCTTTTGGGAGTGGCCCACTTGGGGCTGTTTTTGTCATTCCTGGGAGAGTACACCTTCTTTCTGGGGAGCTGGGAATGTGCTTGCTCTTACTGCAGGGGCATTCAGACATTTGAGAAGGGACCCTTGGGTGGTGCACCAGACAGACATGGTTGAGGGGTGCCCTGTCTGTGAGAAATTTCTGAATGGGAAGTGGAGTAGCCAGGACTCTAGCTGGTGCTGTGAGCAGTGGCTTAACCTGATGAACCACAACACTTGCTCAGCTTTGTTCAAACATTGACTGGTGACAATGTGGAGTGGAGGGCCTGCCTGATGAAAGCAAGGATGTGAGAATTGAGGGATGGGGGGACATGGTAGAACGGGAAGAAGGCAGTCACTTTTAGCCCCTAAAGACCCAGTGTGCCTGCTGGGAGCTGGCATAGGGACCCATCATACAACAGGTGTGAGGTACAGTTAGCTGTGCAGGCCCAGAGTGGCTGACACCTGAAGCTGCAGGATATGCGGGGCAGCAACAGAAGGCCCCCGGGAACAAGAGCATCATTTATGGGAGGACAGTTTCCACTGGATAATGAGAAGTCTTTGCTGGCCTCTCACAGCTGCTACATTTGTAGGACACAAGGTTCTGTGTGGAGACACGAAGGACATGGGATGCTTATGGCGCTTGTTTGCAAAGACCTTATAATCTTGCACATTGTTTTCTAGGAATAGCCTTGTGATTGGGGTGGGATGTGTACAAACAAGCAAAAAGTGCTGCCTTTATTCACCCCAAGTGAAGGCACTCTGTTAGGGACGCTGGCTTGAGAATTAAGGCACAAGTGTTTTCCTGGAAGCTCTGGGGGAAATGCCGGGCTGTGTTGCTGCTAGAGGGAAGTTTCCTTGGGAATACTGCTACCAGACTCGAGTTGTAGGATGTGATAGACTGGCCTGCCTGTTGGGACTGGGTGGGAGGACACAGTGGGTAGTGTGGGGTGACATTCAAGGAGAGAGAAGCTCTTCAGCCCAACCATGTATCCAAGGAGTTAAGCAATAGGAGAATTTCCAAGAGCTGGCATGATGGCACAGTGGTTAAGCTGCCACCTGGAACACTGGCATCCCAAGGCACCAGAAGATGGCGCAAGTGCTTGGGTCCCCACCTGCTACATAGGAGACAGATGAAATTCTAGGCTCCTAGCTTCTGCTTGAGTCATTCCAGCCATGTGGAGAGTGAACCAGTGAACTAAAAATCCCTGTCTCTGCATTGCAAATAAAAATAGGTCTTTTCTTCCACATCTCCCATGTGGGTGCAGGGGCCCAAGGACTTGCACCATCCTCTGCTGCTTTCCTAGGCCATAAACAGAGTTGGATAGGAAGTGGAGCAGCAGGGATACAAACATTTCATATGAGATGCCAGAACCATAGGGCAGAGCCCCTATGCCAGCCCCAAATAGATTTTTAAAAAAGAACTTTCAGAGACAACTGTGGATCCACCTTGTTTAAGGGGCTGACTGCATCTCAGGATGGAGCACACAGGCAGCCCTGTTCTGTAGTTCCCGTCCTTCTTGCCTCTGTAAAAACTGGTAGCAGCTGGCCACATAAAGGACTTTCTCTTCCTGTGAGGTGGTCCACGTAGCCAGGTGGTTTCCTTGGTTTCATCTCTTTGTTGGGGTTGTAGATGCTGGCACAACACATCTCCCAGGAACAAAGAGGTTGGGTAACATGGGGTGACGCATGTCTCAAGTGCTCCCTCCTTCATGAGTTGAGCTGCTGTCATTGGCACAGTCATATGGCATCTCCCGTTTCCTCCAAGGTCTTGGGCTACCAAGGGAGCCGGTAAGGTAGTTACCCAAACAGTAGAAGATCATTCTAGAGATTCACCATGAAATGCAACAGGATTTAAATGACAAGACTGAAGGGGTCAGGAGAACCCTTCTGGGGTCTTTTTGGAGACCCTGAGAAGTTAGGAGTGGCAGACAGGGACTGGGTTGGAGGACATATCTAGGTCTGTTAGCTTGGGGAATTGCTCATATAAATGTTATAGTAAAGCAAACTAACTCACCTCCCTTCCCAAGTGTTACAGCACTAGACCAGAGAACCTTTTGCAGGAGTAAACCATTCCCACCTCACAGCCAGACAGTGGGATTCTGTTCCCTGCAGGTGGCCCACTCCCATGGGAAGGCCTGGAGCTGCCCCCAATGACTTGTTTCCCGGGTTCCTATTCCCCCACCTGCCTATCAGAGTAGCCATCTCTCCCTTTTCCTGGGCCAGAGTCAATAAAGGAATGGAGAGAGGACAAATGCATCCCTCCTACTTTAGCTCCCCGGACATGGAGGAAGCCAGAACTATTCCCAAGAGTTAATGCTGTGGAGGACCTGGGATGTGGTTGGAGCAGGGACCTGTCACACAACGGCTGGTCACTAAATATTCTGGCCTGGTTCCAACAGGAGTTGACCTGAGGTGTCTGACTTTGCAGTTCCATATTCAGCCTCATTCTTGATGACAAAGCCAGATGCTCTCAGACAGTTTTAGATTATGAATTAGGAGGAAGTTGCCTACTATGAAGAGATTTCACATACTAAGGACTAAGTGGATGAATATTGTAAACACTTCCAATTTGAGTAATAGGTAATGCATGTTTTGAAGGAAAGAAAAGGCACTTTTTCAAGCCAGGTAGTGTTAAGCCTCCACTTTTGGTGCCAGCAACACATACGGGTCAAGATCCTGAACACTCCACTTCCATTCCAACTCCCTGATAATGGTCAGGAAAAACAGTGGAAGATGGCCCTAAGTTCTGTGTCCCTGCACCCACGTGGGAGATGTGGAAGAAGTCCCCAGCTCCTGACTTCAGACTAGTCCAGCTTTGGCTGTTGTGGTCATTTGGGAAGTGAACCAGTGGAAGATTTAACTATGCCTTTCACATAAAAATAAATCTTAAAAAAAGAAGAGAAGGCACTTAACACTGCCTTTTGGGCTGACAGTTGGGAACCAGG